ACCATCGGGAACACCGAATGAATATTTGATAGGTCCGCGGCCGTCCGGGCCTCCGACCTTCGAAATTCGGCAGCTTTTACCGTAATTGGTTCCCCGATTAAAGCCATCGTCTCTCGGATCTCTCGGATCTTTGACGGCTCGGCTTTGACGCGATAGAGAAACTTTTTCCAAAGGGATGATCCGAAGGGAGGATAGAAAGGAAGAGGAAGAAAGAGAGAGAGAAGAAAGAAAGAAATTTTCTTGCACGAGTCGAGAGGAGGGAGAAGGAAAGAGGATAAAAATTTGTAAGAAGATTGAAAAAACACTCGAGCGGTGAGTCAACGATATTTCATTCTAGACGAATTTCAACCCGTTATTCCTGGAAATCCGCGTGTGTGCGTCTACTCCTGTACACGGAATCGGCGTGATAAACACACACACACACATATATATACATATAAATATATATATACATATATATATATATATATATACGCCCGTATGGCCCGTTATTCTCTAAAGTAACAGTTACGAGCGTAGTACGAGAGTCCAAGCATCGCGCTGTGCGTGGAATAGGTTCGATTCGAATGGATTCCATGGAAACGGCATTTCCGGTTCACATTCGGTTTTCTATTCGTGGCCGCTATTACGCGTCTGATTAGAAACTTGCCAACCATCGAGACAACATTGCGCTTCCGCCATTCATTTTACGAGGACAAAGGATCGAGAACCTTCGGTTTCCCTTTCAACCGCGATTCAAAAGGTACACGACCCGACGTCGAATATCGCGCCTATTCGCATTTCGATATTTAACCACCAGTTTTCGAGAAGAAAATAAAAGCATCGAAGAGAAGGGTAAAGAAGAGTAGACCTCTCATTCATCACGAACGAAAGAAAAATTGGAGGGAAAAAAAAAAAAAAAAAAAATTGGACGAACGTATATACAATTACCCTCAATACTCTTCGTCTCTTAGACGCGTAAAAGAGATGAGAGCTATTATTCCGAAATCGGCCGATCTGTATCTGATTCCTCGCAAGAAGCGGTCGAACCGAAGGAAATTAATATATCTGGTACAGTCGTTCCTCCGAGGAGGGAAAAGATCGACGACCCGGGGAACGTATCTGGGTTAGTAGTCGTCGGCGATTCACGCGGAAACTTCTTTCGCTAGGAGGGCACTGCGTGGAAATTCGCAAGGTGGCTTCTCCCTCCCTCCTTCCCTCTCCCTCTCTCTCTCTCTATTTCTCTCTCTCTCCCTCTCCCTCTCCCTCTTTCTCTCTCTCTCTTTCTTTCTCTCTCTCTCTTTACTCTCGTCTCTGCTCCTCGAAAAGTGAAATTTCGTGGCCCCGCTGACGAAATTTCGTCGTCGCACGAATTCACCGGGTAAGGTCAATGGCCTCGCCCACATACCGGCACGAGTCACTCTCAGACCCCGCGTCGCGAAACTGTTCCGCCGAGATCGAGCCTCGATCAGCGACAAAACAATGCCGACTCTCCTCCGACTATCTTTTATTTTCACCCGTAAGAAGAAGAAAAAGAAGAAGAAGAAGAAGAGAAAATCGACGAAATCGGCATCGTTACGGTTTAGAAAATGGTTGGATTCGTCGTGTTTGGACGAATTTGGATCGTCGTCGAATTCGCGTCCTGTTATGAAAAGCAGGGTAAAAAATTTCGCACGCGGGAACAAAACACAGGGATTATTTTATTTTTCCTGTGTAAAATAAAAGAAGGGGGAAGACGATGGAATCGCGACGATTCAGGACGGGCGCGGAACAGGGACAATGCGCGGGGCACAGGTCCGATAAAGCGCCATTACTGCCATAAATTTAATTCCGCCGGTACGAGGCATTTCATTTCACAGAATTACGAATAAATCACAGCTGGCACGATATTCTATTAATTTCAGGAACAGTGCCAAGTGAATTATTGCCAGTCGATACACTGCAATGCCTCATCGTCGGGCCCGCTAAATATTTTCACAGATTCATTGAGTACGTTGTAAAAGAAAATTTCCATACCATCCCCTCCCCCCATACATGGCTACGACCCGCTCCGATAAACTTATTCCTTTCTCCTTCTATTCTCTAGAGTCTCCTATCCGCTCGCGATCCACCTCCTTTAATCGATTCCACCGGTGTTTATTCCGCGATATCGTATGCGTTTCACTTACATATACGTTTTCGAGGATATGGAAAAGGTGAATGGCGAAGGGGAACGATGCTTGCTATTATCTCTCTCTCTCTCTCTTCCTCTCTCGAGAATCCTTTTGGCGGATTTCGTTCGCGTAACCTTGGAATCGGGATCGGTCTTCGAGATTAGAATCCAAGAAGAAAAAGAAGAAGGTTCGACGACCCTATTCTGCTCGTCCTATTCTATCTCTACAGAGGTGTCGATAGTCGTCGAGTTCATTCGCGAGAAAAAAAAAGTGCCGTGTCACAAAATAATGTTGGGGATTGTCGATCTCGAATCTGGGACCATATACATATCTGACGGCTCCAAAAGTCACAGCGAGTAATAGGAAAATCGATGGTTCGATTGGCGGAAGAGGCGCGAACTTCGGTGAGATGGGTCGATAATAAAAGGAAAATCTTGGATCGGGTCGATTTGGGCCGATTTACATTCATGCGGCTCGAACGTGATCAGCGTGTATGCAGCGAGCCGTGAATGGGGAGAAGAGGGTGGGAGAGCGTGTGGGTAAAGAGTGTGGCGCTGGGGTTAAATGCACGTCCCCGTGAAGGGGTTGGCAGAGGACAACGGACCGGTGGAGAGGCCGGTGCGAGAGGGACGCACCGTGGAAAAAGCACATGCTCAAAGGAGGTGTAAACAAGGACGGGAGAAAAACATCGAAGGATTTTTGTAGACGGGTGTCTGACGGCTCGTGAATTTACCAGACCAGAAGAAATTCTCCTTCGATCGACGACGATCATCATTTTTTTCCGAGGAACGCGATGATAATATACGAATTTCTTTTTTTTTTTTTTAATATCCAGCCTCTCTCTTTCTTCGGATTCGCCGCGAAAAATCGGGGGTTAATTTCACCACCCGGCTCGCGCACAATTCGTACAATTCAATTTAAATTCAAATATCGAGGTATTTTTTTTTTTTTTTTTTTCATCCTCCATTCAGCCCCGAGCCAAATCGATCGGTATTCGTTCGAAAAAATTTCCGACATTTTTCCCTCCGCAACATTATTTTCCGCGGAGGAAACAAGTTGCGCGAATGCCGTTTCCGTATTCTTAGATCATTCTCACAACATCGCCAGCCCTATCGATTTTTCGCGTTACGTAAACCTCGCGTCGGAATAAAGTTGCAGTCTCCTGGAGAAGAAAATCCGTTTCCAATTTTCCATGAGATCGAAATTTTAATAGCATTTCCCTATCGATTATGGATTTGCGCCGCGATCACGAACCTCGTGAACAACCCTTCCCTTCCCTTCCCCCCCCATTCGTGTTCGCTAACCCAGGTCCAGGTTTCTAACCTTCCTTTCCTCTCTTCCTCCCTTTCTTCCTTTTTTTTTTTTTTTTTTTTTTTTTTTATATCTAATATCACGAAGCAATGGGACAACGTCTTACGCGATCGCGAGAAGTTATCCGAAGAATTAAACTTAGAAGCGATCGGCGCATGCACCCTGTCGGCATCGACGAACAGAGACAGAGAAGCCGACAGAGCATGGAAAATCCGTGGACGAAGGAAAGAGAAACGGGGGAAGGTGGAGGAGAAGAGAAAAGGAGGAGGGAGGGTGGGGAGGGGACCGGCGAGAGAAAAGAAGAAAGAGAGAGGGGGAGGGGACACGGTTGCACGCGCTGGAGTTGGTAGTTGGAGGGGTTGAAAGGGGTAACGAGAACGCGCTCGACGAAGAGGGGAGAGAAGGAAGACGAGGCGAAGGTTGGACAAGGAGGAAAGAGGGAAATGCACGAGAGAGGTACGGTGCAGGCGGGGAGGGGGAAGAAGGGAGAAGGATAGAGGACGAGAGGAAGGAGGACGAGAGGTGGAGAGAAAGGGAAGTAGGGAGAAAGAGAGGGCGAGCGAATGTGTGTGTATATATATATATATAGTATATACTATATATATATATATATATATAGGGAGAGAGAGAGAGAGAGAGAGAGAGAGAGAGGGTGAGGGTGAAGTAGAGAGAGGGGAGAAGGTCTGGCAACGGGTCGATCGAAAGCGCAGCGCAGAGAAATGCACCACCTCTGCTCTGGTCTGGCAGCTTTGCTGGCACACCACCACGTCCGTGTTCGCCAGAAAGAGAGAGAAAGGGAGAAGGATGGAGAGAGAGGGAGAGAGAGAGGGATAGCGAGCGACCAATACCGACGCAGGGGGAGGACGAGCCAAGCCGACTCGCGTTGGGCTAGGTCAGGTCTACCCGAGTTCCACACACCGCTCTGCGTGTGCCATCCAAAGAGACCCGAAGGCGGAGACCACCCTCGAAAAAGGGTTGAAACGCGAAATTACGCGAACCGTTCTCGTAATCGCGGTACAACAGTGTGTTTTATTATTCTTACGGGGAATTTTCCATCTTTCCTTCGTTCTCCCTTTTTTTCTCTCTCCCTTTCTCTCTCTCTCTCTCTCTCTCTCTCTCTCTCTCTCTCTCTCTCTCTCTCTCGCTCACTCGCTCATTCACTCTCTCTTTCTCTTTCCGTTTAAATAAAAATCCAAACGAATCGATCGCGTTGCAACACCGGTGGTTTGTTGTTTGGCCCGAAACGATCGGGGCATCGTAGACGCGGCGTGCTCGCTCGTTCACCGCTCAACCGCGAGATTATTCCGCTGTCACTGACAACAACGAGGGTGGAAAGATCCACCGGTCATCCTTGGTGCGTGATTCGTTATATCCCCCTACCGCGACAAAGTGGAAAGTGGTTGCTCGTTTTCGACCTTTCGACCCTTTCGATCCATCTTCGTCCCTCTTCTTCTTCTTCTTCTTCTTCTTCTTCTTCTTCGCCGTTGGGAAAGTGACAAGAAGGGGTTGGTGGAGGGGGAGGTGGTGCAAGACGGGAAGAAGGTGAAGTGCGTTGAAGGAAGAAGTGGTGTTCGCGTGTGCCTTCCAACCAGGATAAACGGAGAGAGGAGTAGCAAAAGTGTGGTTCCCCGGTTTATACAGTTTTCTTTCTCTCCACCTTTTCTCCGTCGTCCGCTTCGACTCGACGAGGAAGCGGATTCGGAAAATCGTGAAACGTGAAGAAGGAGAGAAAGAATAGGAGGTTGATCGAGATTGTTGCGGGTGGGAATAGTTGTTGATAAACAAGCGAGTAGTGGAGAGAGTGTCGGTGGTTGATTAACTGTCGGGTGCAACGACAGCGCCGATCCGAATTTTCCTTTTGCTCCTGATGTCCTGATAATCGATAAGCGTGTGGTATAGGTGGTGTAGAGAGGACCGCCTAGGCCGGCAGCGATCGGCCTTATCGACGCCGAGAGAATTTCGTCTTCGCCGAGGGACATCCTCGAATAAATGTTGAGAAAAGCCAACGTGTTCCATCCCTCGACGCGAGGTCATCCGAGGCTCCCGAGTGTCCAAAGAGTCGTCGGGATGCCGATCTCCCTGAGAAATCATAGGATCACGTAAAACCTGGACCCGGTAATCGGTCTACCGAGAGATCATCCCCTCCTCGTCCCGCCCCCTCCCGCCCCGTTGCGGGGGATCGACGTAATCAGTCGCGTCAGCACAATTTAGGAACGAAGGAACTCGTCGCACTTTCGTCGATTCGCGGCTCGCGAACCGATGCACCAAAAAGGCGTGAGTATCGCGCGTTAATTGTTGAACGAATGATGCGCGATGATGCGGATTAGTAATTCTATTTATCTCGACGAACGAGGCATTTGGAATAAAATAAACAAACTATTTCTGTTGAAAAAGGATTAATCAAAACTTTCGAGAACGTGAAGTTTTCGAAAATTCGACGATTCCTAGCTTCTTTCGATTCCTTTTCTTCCTCTCTCTTTTCTTTTGCTTCGAGCAACGAATTTAAAAAATCGATTACCACGCGTATATAAAGCATCGTGTTGTGCAAATGTTCGTATTAACGTTAAAATGTTAAAATATTTTTTCTTTCCTTTCTTGTTCCTTGTTGTTACTTTAAAGCATCCCTAAAACGATCGTTCGTCGTTTAAAGAAAAAAATGGCATTAAAAAAGAAAAAAAGGGAAGAATATAATAACGAACGTTTTAAACGAACGTAAACACTTCTAAACGATAGATTTTTATCCCAAAGCTAAAATAGAGAACACCGATATTACGTGACAAATGAGAGAAGAGAAAAGAAGAAAAAAAAAAAAATAGACGAAGACTTTAAATATAATAACAAAATATGATTTAAATTTAAATTAAAAACGCGATACGAAAGAATACGGAGAAAGAGAGACAGAGAGAGAGAAAATAAAATAAAATAAAAATTAAAAAAAATTGCAAAAATCGAGGGCAAAGAAAAATCCTCTTAATCGGAGGGGCATCGAGAAAGAGAAAGAGAGAGAGAGAGAGAGAGAGAGAGGAGGGACGAAAAGCGAAAAGTTAGGCAGAAAGTTAACGAATGGTGAACGGACTGGTGGTGTGCGATTTCCACGGAAATGGAAATTCAACGAGTAGCGAAAACCCCCGATAGGTGGGCGGGGGTGAGGAGCGGAGGGTCGGACTTCAGAGTTTATGCCCCGTCCCCCTCCCTCTCACCCCTGCAGTCGATCAATGCGTGGACGGGTTTCACTTTCGCGATGTTAAAGTGTTGCACCATCCCCGATTGAGGGACAAGGGAAAAAATGCGATTTCTCCCTTATCACGTGGATTCTCTCTCTCTCTCTCTCTCTCTCTTTCTCTCTCTTCGAAGCAAGGAACAAAGAAGACGTATAATTAAAGTTACGGACTTTCATCGATGAGGAAAGAATACTCGAAGAGGAAAGAAAGAAAGAAAGAAAGAAAGAAGGAAGGAAAGAAAGGAAAAAATTTCTCGATAGTTGCGACACGCGGACACGAACGCATTTCCTCTCTTTTACAAGCGTTTCGAAGTTAATGGCTGGAGTTATTGATCGTATCGATTTACCGGAATCTCAACTATTTATAACGTTCTGCGTTGTCGGCCGTCATTACACATAGATACTTTTGCCGTTGTCGATTCCTAAATAATATCGGGATTTCCACGGGTCCCCACTTTCGCCCGCGATGATCCACGTCCCCTAATCACGGGAGGATAGAAATTCTTTCTCGACGCGTTCTTTCGTCGGCGTCAATCGTCGATTAAGGACGATTCAAAAATATTATCAAGTATCAATAAATAATCCCTATCCGCATTTTTGATGTAAATCGAAAAAATGTAAACTTTTTAACACTACGCTTCTAATATTAATATTCGCGTAATTATTCGAATTAGACATTATCCCCTTTCATCGGAATGCTAAACGATGAAAACTAATATATATATATACATTCTTTTTTTTTTCTTTATGAACTTTATATCATTTTATATCAATTTATCAATTATCAATTTTATATCAAACGCTTTAAAAATATTATCAAATATCAATAATAAATAATCAATAATAAATAATCCCTATTTTTTGATGTAAATCGAAAAAATGTAAACTTTTTAACACTTTTAATATTAATATTCGCGTAATCGCATAGATTCGAATTAGACATTATCCCTTTTTATCGCTAAACTAATATATGAAAACTAATATATATATTTTCTTTTTTTTTCTTTATGAATTTTTGTACAGTGAAGGATGGAGGCTAGCGAGTGGGATCACGCGACCTTGAGAGAAGAGGAATTCGAGCAGCATGCGGTATATTTGGTACCGGATGTGTCGGCATCGCCTGGCGATACCAATCGTGCGGAGGCATCCCTGCCAAGAAATTTGGTCCTCAAACCTTCTCAGGCCCTCAACGATGTACGTTCCTCCGCCAAAGAATCCTTTCTCGAGACCTCCTCGGTGAGAGTCGCGAGTGTAATCGACCATTTCTCTCTAAATCCCCCTTTAAATCCCCGAAACAGCGGCCCCTCGAACGCGACGCGAACTCGAGCAAAAGTATCTCGATCTTTGGAAATCTTGTTTCGAGATCGAGCGGGTTGACGCGGCTTTAATCGTTCCACCCGATTTAAGGGTGGAATCAAACTTGACCGAGCGACGAACAAGCTAATCAACTTACCTAGCCGCACGACCTAGAGTCAATCGTTACACTTTCCTCGGTGACACGGGGAATCGAGACCAATAGCCTCGGTCATTGCACGAACTCTGCGAACTCTTACTCTTGGAGCGCGTACGTACACACATCGGATATCGTTCGATTCGCATCGGATAATTGAAAACGGGACGAAACGGGAGCAAACAAGATTTTTGGAAAACGATAGAAGAATTCTTTATCGAAAATGTCGGAATCGGAATTTGGAAAATTATTACTGGTATCGATGAAAATAATAGATCCGTGGAAACGTTCGTAAATATCGCCGCGGATAAAAAGGAATGTTTCAACGTGTTCTTTGACAAAAATCGAATTGCGGAAATTCTACTATTTCACACTCGAGCAAGATATATTTTGCGCGTACGATACAATTACGCGAGAAGAGAAGAGAAAGGGGCGTTGAGAGGGCCGCCAAATCGAATGAAAATTTAAATCGATTGAATCGGTTAAATGAAGGAATTGATAAAGGATATCGATTTGTCGTGTTCTGCGTAGGTTTTGGGTGTGTGGAGCACGAGTTACATACCCAAGGGGACACGGTTCGGTCCCCTCGTGGGCCATGTGTACACCAAGGACTCGGTGCCGGCCGATGCGAACCGGAAGTACTTCTGGAGGGTAAGAATCGTTCGAAAACCACGTAGTCAGGTATTTCGCAAGCGGTCGGCTATCATCGTAGGCCAGTCTCAGTTGGATGAGGGGGGAAAAGGAAAAAACGAGGGGGAGACGAAAAGGGAGGGAAAAAGATAGAGAGAGAAGCCTGCAAAGACCAGAAACTGGTTTCAGCCGATCTAGCGAGCCTTAAAGCGAAACCCGCGAAGCCATTGATGCCTCGTAACGAATTGATGAGTTACGATAGAGAGAACTTGGCTCTCTCCCCCCCTCTCTCTCTCTCTCTCTCTTTCTCTCTTTCTCTCTCTTTCTCTCTCTCTCTCCTTCCCTCCCTCCCTCTTCCGATTCTTGCTACTAAATCGCGGATATTTCCCCGTTGCTCGATGCCTTAACAGCCTCGAACATAGAAGATTTAGTCTTACCAGTTAGTCAGACTCGAGCTAAGATTTCCTTCGGATACTATTCGCGTTTATTATTACTACTACTACTACTACTACTACTACTATTACTACTACGATCGCGAGTCGAACGCGTGCGTTGGTTGTCCGATCGACTAAATCGTCACGTACGAATTTAATCAATCGATAGGTGTACAAAAACAACGAGCTGTTCTACTACATCGACGGTTATGACGTCCAGAAATCAAATTGGATGCGTTACGTAAACCCGGCTTATTCGTCCGAATCGCAGAACCTAATAGCATGCCAGTATAAGGTGAGTCGAATTCGGATCGAGAGAAACGAGTTCCCCTATCCTCTCCACGTCTTGTATTGGATTTTGACCCGCCTCTTTTGCCTCTCCTTCTTTTTTTTTTTTTCGCAGATGAACATTTATTTTTACACGATCAAGCCGATACTACCGAATCAAGAGCTTCTGGTGTGGTATTGCAGGGAGTTCGCGGAAAGGCTCAATTACCCGTTGACGGGTGAACTAATGCTTCAAAGAATACGTAAGCGCCACTCTATCATCTCTTAGCTTTACGAGAGAGAGGGAGAATGAGAGAGAGAGAGAGAGAGAGAGAGAGAGAGAGAGAGAGAGAACGAGATATCCATATCGTTATATCGCGGTTCGTTGCAGGACAACAAGTACAACAATCCGCGTTGCCGACGGAAATCCCAGCGACCGTCGATGTGGTGTCACCCCTGAAGGACTCGTCGATTTACGAGAGACGGTCGCAAATGACCCCGACGGACGGTTCGGTGAGATCGGACGAGGGCTACCATTCGAACGGTTATCACGACGAGATCCTCACCCCGCCGGAAGAGAGCAGCGAGTCGGACTCGGAGAACAATTACGTGCTGGATTTCAGCAAGAACGCGAAAACGTCGGTGTGCAGCAACGAGGTGGTGAAGCAGGACAATGCGGCCGCGAAGAACGAGTACAGGAAGGTTAAGATCAAGATCACGAAGACGTACGGCAACTTTCAAACGTCGAAGAGTCTGGATGGAAACGGGAAGGACAAGGATCAGGAGTTGGCGAGCAGGGCGGTGACCCCGGAACTGCAGAAACCCGTGTCTCCCATAATTCTTCAGAAGAGCGTCGTCCTGGCCGCGGCCACCGAGGACGAGATCCCCGAGAAAAACCCGAAACCCTTCTACGAGTCCGAGGTGAAGGGTGGCGCGTTGCCGGTGGCCGGTGCAAGGCCGGCGTACCTCGCGAGCCCGAGCAGCTCCATCCTCGAGAACATCCTTCTTCGGACCGCCACCGACAACAACAACAACAACAACAGTACCATCAACAGCACCGGTCACGGCCATCACCACAACGGCAACAGCCAACAGCACCACCAACAGCACCAACACCAGACCATTCACCATCAAACGCACGTGGACTCGGTCACGCCGCCCCCGTCCAGCCCCACGGAAATGGCGTACTCCTACAAAAAGTCCCATCGCTACGGAAACATTTTACCTTGCAGCCCCGACTCGAGCTCCAATCTTCCTATGCAACCGGACACGTGCGTCAACTCGACGAGCGGGAGTAACGGCGCCAGCCTTCCCATGCAAAGCCCGCCCGGTAATTTGCACTCGAGCACGGGCAACCTCCACTCGAGCGCGACCGGGCCCAGCAACAATCTTCTGCAATCCCACCCGGGTAATATCCATTCGACCGGGAACGGTTCGACGAGCAACAACAATCATCACTCGGGGGGCGTGCTATCCTCCACCACGATACTCACGTCCACCACGAGCAACCTTCACCCCTCGACGACGTCGAGCCAGGGTTGCCCGTCCAAGAGGAAGACCAAGAGCCCGTCGCCGAATCCCGCTGGGGCCGCGTCCACAACCCCGGCCACCATCCTCTACTCGAGCTCCGGAGGATGCCAAATAGACTCGAGCCCCGTCTACCCCAACTCGTCGTCTATCGCCAACAGCAATCAGAGCGTGTCCCCCATCTCGCCCATCCAATCGCCCTCCTCCTACCCCTACGGTATTTACCATCAGAACGGCTCGTTGCACCACAACGTTGCCCCGTTGTCCATCAACTGCACCGCGTACTCGCCGACCCCGAGCGGGAACGTGGTTTACGAGACGAGAACGGACGGGAGGAGGCTGGAGGCAGCGACGAGCAGTCATCAATTGCCGACCTCGTCCACGATGCAGATCGACGGCAATCAGACGTTGATAGCTGGCACGCACAATCTTCACCTGGGCCATCACCCGGGCCTCACCATCCACGCCAACTCCTCGTCCTCCCTCAACCGTTACTCGCCCGCCAGCTCCTTGTCCCCGGACGATCACGGCTGCTCGCAGAGCGGCTCGCTGAGCCCGAACTCGCAAGGGTCGAGGGGTTACAGGTCGTTGCCGTACCCGTTGAAGAAGAAGGACGGCAAGATGCATTACGAGTGCAACGTGTGTTGCAAGACGTTCGGCCAACTGTCGAATCTCAAGGTACATCTGAGGACCCATTCCGGCGAGAGGCCGTTCAAGTGTAACGTTTGCACCAAGAGTTTCACGCAGTTGGCCCATCTGCAGAAGCATCATCTCGTCCACACCGGTAAGTGTAAAAGAAAAAAGAAAAAAATGCCACGTTTTATGTTTTACGAAGCTCGAGGCGCGGGTGGTCGAGGTATATATACGTATACGTACATGTACACGTGTACACGCAGGTGAAAAGCCGCACCAATGCGAGATCTGCAAGAAGAGGTTCAGCTCGACCTCGAACCTCAAGACCCATCTGAGACTGCATTCCGGCCAAAAGCCCTACGCCTGTGACCTGTGCCCCGCAAAATTCACCCAGTTCGTTCACTTGAAGTTGCACAAGAGGTTACACACGAACGAAAGGCCTTACACCTGCCAAGGTTGCGACAAGAAGTACATCAGCGCGAGCGGACTTAGGACGCATTGGAAGACGACCAGTTGCAGGCCGAACAATATCGAGGATGAGCTCGCCCTTGCCGCGGCCGTTGGCTCGCCGACGTATTACGAGTACGGCCCGGATATGAACGTCGGTAAGTTCGATCTGGAGGAAAGATAGATAAATTTTATCATTGTATTCTATCCGTTGTTCGTCGGTTTAATCGGAGAATCGCGAAACCCGGTGTTTCCAATCGATCGTAGAGGAGTTCTTTTCTTTCTTTCTTTGTTTTATTTCTTTTTTTTTTTTTTTTTTCCTCTCTTTATTGAGAAGAGAACGTTGTTTCGATTTACAGGAAATATGCCGAAGGAATGCGAATTGGAGCACATCGATAATTACGAGAGGCACGGATCCACTCACGGCCCACACTCCACGTCTCTCCACAACTTGGAGAATTCCGTGGGGCGGCCAAGCGTCATAGAGACCTCCCAGCCTCATATAATCGAGTGCACCTAAAAATGGGGGTATGAGCCCTTTCGCTCAAACGCAAAATCCAGCCGTGGAATAGTAAACGAGTTGCTCACGACAAACGAAAACGATGTTACCCTCGTGAGATGGCAGTGAGAGCCATACTCACGATTCCACGATTCCCTTCGAAATGGGAAAATCGGAGGAAAATGTTTTTCGAAAATGTGCTTTTCCTTCGTTTCACTCGTCGCGTGAGAAAAGCAGCGTGTAAGAGAAGAAACGTGTGCACAGAGATGATCGTCGTGACGCGATCGAAAATGTGAGTGAGATTACGTGCAACAAATGATTCGAAATTGTTGAAGGGAAAAAGAAGAGAAAAAAAAAAAAAAAAAAAAAAAGAAAGAAACTGTTGTTGCTTGGTTATTGTTAACGCGAAGGAATTCAAAGCTTTTAGTAGATAACACTTCTTGAAAGCTGGTTATACTTTTTACGTACGTCAAACGTAACGCGAAACGTAGTTCGATTTCTCTGACGAGGGTGGAAGAATCGACGAGATTCCAGCTACGAGCATACAAAAGTTCCTTCCTTGTAAATACTCGTTTCTATATTTTTTCTATGGTAGCGCCACCAACGAAAACGCGAATCAAGAGAGAAAGAAAGAAAGAAAGAAAGAAAGAAAGAAAGAAAGAAAAAAGGAGAGAGAAAGAAGAAACAAACGTGAAACAAACGTGAAACAAACGTGAAACAAAAGTGGGACGAAATGAACGATAATAGGATTAATTATGTCTCGAGTCGTCACACGCTGCCATTTCCGGATAGAATCGAGAGAAAGCGAGTACCAAAGTCGTTCGAGCTTCTCGATTATCCTTCCACGGTCTATCCTAAATACGATGCTTAGAAAAGGTACCGTATTAACGCGGTACAATCGTTTTTTCTATTCTATATATATATATATATATATACATATATACATGTATATATACATATACATACATATATATATATATATACATATATATATACAAACCGCTAAAAAAAGAAAAAAGAGAGAGAGAGAGAGAGAAAAAGAAGAAATACTTCCACAAATACTTCCAACGTTCGGCCGATAAAACAGAAGACGGACAAACTCTCCAACAAGCAGCAATTTCTAACTCTCTCTATCGCGCCACGCGTTCTAACGCGCCACGATGCACAGTTTGTACCTTTTTTATTATATAATGGATTAACGATAATTCGAACCCTTCGTCGTAACGCTTGGGACGTTGAAACGAATTTCGAGCACATTTCCTGCAAAAGCAAACTGGACGTATATATATATTTTTTCCTTCTTCCTCGCGGTATCACGGTACCATTTTCTACGCGTTCGAGCTTAGGCGGTTTGAAAGTGAAAAATGAATGGCGGATTTTGTCGGCATCCGTCAGCGCATTCGCGGCAAACGCAACGCGCGGGGAAACAATAGCGAGAGTAAAACGCGTTAAATGTTAAAACGAACAACCAGTGACGACACGACTGCAACTATACGAGACCTGTACCTGTATATACTAACATTTACTATTAATTATTCGATAATTTAAAGAAAAGGTAATAATATAAGGAGCTCTAATTTATGAATACCTTTATATATGTATATGTATAATATCGTCGTCGGTTGGCGAAGAAGCACGGTAGGCTGCGCTCTACGATAATCTCTTTTTTAAATAGGGAGGAAATCTTTTCAGAAATTAGATAATTTATTACACGCGTACACGTAACTGTAGTTAAAAATGTTTAAAAAAAAAAAAAAAAAAAAAAAAGAACACGGGGGAAAAAAAGCTTTCGGTGATCGAGTATCTATATCTATATTTATACACATTCATATAAATATAAACATATACATATATATATATAAAAATATATATATATACATATATATATATATTTTTTAGGCGTCCTTTTGTCGTGGAATTTTCGAAAAACGGAAAGCATAGTCTCTCGGTCCACGCGAACGAATATTATTTTTTTTTTCCTTTCTTCCCCCCGCCCTCGCCCCCTTTTTCTTTCCCCATCCCCTTCGAATTTTCCCTTTTCGCAACGCTATATATCTCTTCTCCTTTCCAGATCGATCGATTTTCAAAACTATCGTACCGACACACACACACACACACACACATTTCTTTCGCATCGTCAATAGAGATAAATATAAAAAAAAAACGTCAATAAAACGTGGTAACACGATAAGATAATTGGGAGGATCGTCGATTTTAATCATTACGATTCGATTTCGTTCGACGAAAAAAGAGAGAGAGAGAGAGAGAGAGAGCGCTTTATCTTTCTCGTCTTATCGCGATCGCGCACAAAGTTCGTTTACTCATCGTGACATGGAATGCGATTAAAGAAGTTGATTAATTTCGTGAGTGAATGAGTGAGTGAGTAAGTGAGTGAGAGAGAGAGAGAGAGAGAGAGAGAGAGAGAGAGAGAGAAGAGAGGAATTATTGACGGAGATAAGCGCGGTGGAAAACGCAGTATTCAGAATAAAAGGCATTAAAATCGTTTAAGTATCGACAGGAAGGCGGTCGACAAAAATCTCGCGGTGTACAAAATACATAATTCGGTCGGGGACGAAGACTCGGGCGTGATTTTCATTGGGGAACAAGTCGAAAGCGCACATTAACACACGGGAACATTGGAAAATGAAATTCAGACAGGAATAAAAATGATAATCACGCGAGGGAAGAGAAAATCTAGTCAAAAAAAGAAAAAAAAAAAAAGAAAACATTAACTGCGTCTCGTGGATAATATTTTTTTTTCGTGTAATAACAAGAAACAAGATCCGCCTGAGCCTTCCTCCCCTTCAATTTTCTCGCGCTTCGATAACACGTGAACGTTTTTTTTTTTTTTAGCACGTAAAGAATTGTAACTGTTTCTAGGTACGTGAAGTTACTCGATGAAGATTACTCAAATCTTGAAATTTGTAAGATTCGTTTTTTAAAGCTATTTAAATTGGCAAAAACGATACGACAAATTTTTTTTCTTTTCTTTTCGTATCAAGAACAAGAAAGCAAATAATATTAATAATAATCGTAATAATAATAATAATAATAATAATAATAATAATAATAATAATAATAATAATAATACTGATCACCAGTCGATTGTTTGAAGAGTTCGATATCGCCCGATCGACTAAAAAAAAAAAAAAAAAAAAGAAACTTATCGAAAAAAATTCGAAATCGTATTAATCAGACCGGTGACAATGGCCACGAACTATTGATTTCTTCTTTTCTTCTTTCTTTCTATTTTGTATCTTCCATTTGGTTTCAGAATCATCGTGAATTTCATAAATTCCGTACTTCCATTAATTATTTAAGTGCCGAATCGTCGACAATTGAAATCAATAAGAAAAAGCGCAGCCTACCGATTAGATACGAAACGATAAAAAGAATCGCGATCGGTTGATGATTCACGCGTCTCCTGAATCTCTTGACACGAATTTTATAAAACGAATGGAAGAACAAGGTGACGTTGGAATCGCTAATCGATAACGATAGCACATTACGATGTATCGCAGACTGATATACGCACGGTTATAAATCGTTTACAAAAATCATTCTAATAAAAAAAAAAAAAAAAAAAAAAAAAAAAAAAAAAAAAAAAAAAAAAATATATATATATCTAAGCGCATCGCGATACGACTTCAAGGGTAAAAGATACGATTAAAACAAAGCAAGCAAAAGAAACAAATGGCATGAAGCACAGACCGCGTTTGATGACAATTTATATTCCAAAAAAACTTCTTTTCTTAAATGCCTCAGTTTCGAGAAAAAGAAAAAAAAAGAAAAAAAAAATAAAAAAAAATAAAAATAAAAAAAAAAAAAAATAAAAATCGTCGCGCAACTCGCGTGAACGATTAACCTAGAAAAATCCAAAGGTTCCGCGTCCACTAATTGCAATCTATTCATCATCTATCCATTTTAGCTTGGAACGTGACAAGTTCAATGGTTCCTGGAAATATCATGGTGCTCGTTATAAGATTTTTAAAACTGATCATTTAGATTTCGTTTCTTCCGTTTCGCTGTACTCTTTTATGTGAAAAGGGTCCTTTTTTAAATAACACATAGAATCTCTATCGGCAAACGATACTTTGACGCGTCAGTTAAGTTTAAGACAGCTTTAAAGTTAACTTTTTATTTTGGCGAATCTCCGTATTCCAGAAGAAGAAAAAAATGAGAAAACTAAAAAAAGAAACAAAGGGAAAATTATTAAAACAAAGCGAGAAAGAGAGAGAAAAAGAGAGAGAGAGAGAGAGAGAGAGAGAGAGAGAGAGAGAGGGAAAGAAAAAGAGAGACAGACAGACAGACAAACAGACAGACAGACAGACAGACAGAAAGAGAGAAAGAGACGATACGATTCGCAAGGCCTTTATGCTGATTTTTGCTAACAGATTAACAGGCAATGTGGAAGACTCGGGCATTCTACCGAATGCCTAGGCCAAATGAAAATTTTCTAATACAATGTGTACGCTATAATAGCGATCTATCGATTAATCGAGACACGCGCAGGACGCTGAGGACTACCGTAATCGCGTCAAGATCGTAGGAAAGAACACAGACTGATAGATTCTACGATGTTGACCTCCCTTGACGGTAGTGAGTTTAGGCCTGCATGTATTCTATGCCGCGAAAACGACATTGGAAACTACCGTACATTTTACATTCATTCGACGCGATACCATTCATTTTATACTCATCAAACGTAACAGACGTTCATTCCAATCATTAATTTTAATACTTTTGCGATCGTACTACTACCATCCGTTCAGTAACACCTATATTGAAACTATATTGAAACTATAGGATTATAATCGACATGTGCATTACGACAATGGTGCACAATGATCATATTGGCTACAATTTATATATATATATATATGCGAAATATCTAATGATAAATCCTAAAAGACAAATGATGTAATTGAATTTCAGCGATCGCAAAAGTGTTGATTATATCGAATCGATCGATCGATCACGTATATTTTTTTACATGTTCAAAGTACGATATCGAAGTTGAGGAAATGGTTTCCAGTGACGTTTTGTCGATTGTCATTCCGTATATTGCCTCGATTTCCTACCTTGCCTGCATTAAACGCACTATTATAAATAATGAGATGAAAGAGAAAGAAAGAAAGATAGTGTGAAAGAAAGCGAACGAACGATGAATGAGCGAACGAACGGAGGAGCGAAAGATAAAAGAGAGAATGAGAGAGCGAAAGTGGAAGAGAAATAAACCTAGAGCGTAAGATTTAAATTTGCGAAAAGAACAAAAAACATGAAAACGGTATAAAGAATGGAAAATTAAGAAGATCGTGTAAATACGCTGAAAGTAGATAAAACGAAGAATCAAGCGACTAACCGCCTCGACAACAGACAAGCAATATTTAGTTCTTACCATCTCGTAATAATTAAACGATAACTCCAACTGTACTGTACACACGTGTACACACTCGTACGTATTTAAACGACTATAAATTAAATGTTAATTATCCTTACACTTCGTATATAGTAAATTGTTACGCATTTATTATCATTACAATTATTGAATAGATAATGCTCAATTAGCATTTGTTTCTTAAAATAAAGAATAAATATATGGCTGTTGGATATTTATATGCACATATCACTACCTATCATTCACACCTCTCTCTCTAGTCATAAGCTTTTAATTCCAATCATTCACGTTACCCCTCCTTAAAATTAAGAATCGTTCGTCGTTTTCCGTCAATCTAAACTATCGGCGTGAAACGACGATCGAATAGAAAGACGGATCCTTCTAACAGGAAGGAAGTCCAAGGATATGTTTCAACTTATAAGGCGAGGTATATCGTTTTTAACCTTTTATTGTAAATTGATCTACAATCACCATATCCTGGTTCATCGTCGTTACATCTTCATCGTTATAGATAGGAAAATGTTACAGCAGCACTATTGCTCAATTATAGTGTGTGTATGTGTATATGTGTCTGCATATAACTCTGTTCATTTCTCGCAAGTATCAACTTCGATCGTAAATTTTAATTTAAAAATCACTTCTATCGGAGATCAAATGCCTCTCCGATTCATTATTGTACAATTCGATTTCGAAATGGCGGTTTCTTCGTAATATAAACAAATTTTTCACGATATTTAGTCTCAAAAATTCGCGATTGCGGGATGATCGTGAAACGGAACAGAAAGAGGGAAACTACCTAACTTATGAATAACACCTTTCTTTGCACTTGCATCATCGTCATCATCATCATCATCATCATCATCATCATCATCATCATCATCATCCCCCTTAAGAAGAACGTGTATGATTTTCCGTGTACACGTCGAAGACAATATATATTCCTATATTAATTAGAAAAATAATACAGATTTTGCCTTGTTAATGGAAACAATTAGCTATATGTAATGTACCACATGATTTATGCGGGTATGGACATTTGAGTATGTTGTCACGGCTAACCAAGTCCCTGAAAACAATGTTAAGACTTCTTTCATCTCGCAGAAAAATTATACGTTTTTTTTTTAAAATCTAAAAAAGACATTTTTTTTAAACACGCACCGAAAAATTTACTTCGTGCTATCTTACATAATCGCAAAGAGCACAAGCATAATTATCGGCGGTGCTATAAATTTCAAATCTAAAATATATAGGTAACGATAACACATAACGAAAAAAAGAAAAAAAATGATAAAGAAAATTCATGACAAACTATTGTGATCATCGTATTAAAATAATATCGTTCGGGCACGTAATTTCTATCGCAAAACAATAATAACATTAAAATATTTGGGAATAAAAAAAAAACTATGAGCCTTATATCATACAGAATATATCCAACAGAATATAACATCGTATGGACATATAGGAACAAGATAGCTAAAATAATACATTCTTGTGCACATATTTGGAAATAATAGATCACAACTAAAAAAAAAAAGCGCAAAAAATGGAATCCTGATAACGTTCGGCTCTTATCAGAGATAAAATTAATTAAAAAGCCAAGAACGTTAAATCACAAATGAAACATCATTCCAAACATTAAATATATACTCAATTACAACATTTTATTATTATAAATATGTTGTGTCGACGAATTAAAATGTAAATATAGAATATGATCGTACGAACATTAATTGACAAAGAATAATGAGGATGTGAAATGTCCTACCTTATCAAGGTACAGGACTGTCTGTTCCGCTTCCACTGTTGGTCCCAGCTTCTGTTTTTGTGGCAGCTACTCTATCACCTCGCTTAGAACTCTTCGATAAGGAAGCAACTTCTTTCAGCAAACTGGAAATCTTGTGTTGCATCGTCGATATTTTGGCTTCGTACTCTTTTTCTGTCGCTTTCATTTTATTACGCAGCTCTGTTTCTGATGTAAAATTTTTTGCTTTCAATTCTGTAATCTGAGAAAACGAAAAATAATTATATATGATATCAGTATTATGTGAAATATAGTATTATATTTCAAATTATTATTATTTTTTTTTTTCTTTTTTATACTCACTTGTCTATCTTTAGCAAGTAATTGCCCGTCTTTAATAGATATTTGTTTCTGAAGATGAGCTATCTTTTCCTTAAGTTGTGTAACGGCGACTACATGATCCGAACTATTGGGATCATGTGGATCATGGACACCAACCATTCGCGCTGCTTTCACCGGTGTTGGACCATTTGTGTCCGCACCTTCCGATTGAGGCGGTAGCTTCGTTACATCTATTCTGTGTGGTCTCTTATTATGACTCTTTAATCTGAAGCAAAATAATTAAATTGACTAGGAATTCGTATGAAATATTTATACATTGAACATTACCAGGTTGTGTTACAATCGAAGAGATACTGAAATTGTGATGAACACAATTAAAACTACTAAGCACAAACCTTGCGACATTATTTGTATTTGAATAATTACTTTTGTTCTTTGTGCTTTGCTGCTCGTTGTTGTGCTAATTTCAAATGTGCCCTCCTTTCAGCATCGGATTGTTTTGTTTTTGCCAATGCTCGTTTGTATGACAATGTACACAGCCAACATAATAATTTTCCATCAACCTTTCAATCAAGATATTGATAATTATTGTTCTTGTATAACAAGAGTTTGTTTTGAATTTAAGATATTAATAATTATTATTCTCAAATTCAAAAAAATTCTTGTAATTATATAAAATAATTATACAAAAATCAATTACCTTCTTATCTTCATCTTGTCTGTCAAAGGCACACTTTTGTTTGCATTGCTCGCAAGTAACTGGTGGCCCATAACGCTTCTCAGAATTTGTACATCTTTGACATTTACTACCAATAAATGCAGCTATGGTATTGCAATATTCACAGGCTGATGGCTTACCATAAGATTTCACATTTTGTTCACATTTCTTACAAATAGTGCTTGTATTGCCCTTTCTACAAAATAAAAAATAAAATTTTTTGAAAATATATCTTATAATCTGAAATGTAAAATAACATATGATGCTTACATCGTTTGTTGGAATTCCGATCTACAATATGTACATTTCACCACAGGAAATGCACCTCTGCATTCCTAAATAAGCAATATAGTACACAATATAGTAAAAATTCATTTAAAAAAAAAAACTTATTGTAACAATCTATATTGTATATATTTAAATTTAAGTCGATTAATATTCACACAGAATTTAAACAGAAAATACACAATGTTATAAGAAAAAAATATTTATCAAATTAAAAATTAAATAATTATTTTTTCAAAATGTGGCTTTTTTAAACAAAATCGATTAAAACGTTACAATTAACTTTTTTAAACATATGTACAATTATCCTTAAATTGGAGCGTAAAAATGAATCTGTACTAGAATCAAATTTTTATCTAAATCCTATTTCAAGATTTTTATTCATTACAAAACAGTGTTAATTGTATATGAAACATGTATTTGAATTAAAAGTTCTATTATTAGCATCGTATCTTACAAACACGAAAAATGACGCTTTAAAAGAATCAGTAGTAGTGTAAAGAAAATTTTCCGAGGAAAAATATTAAAATCCAAAGCAATACCTTACACAATTGTTGCCCTGGAGAAAGTTCTTCAAAAGGATGCCTTGAAAAGCATCTGGAACATGCGAAAAGTGCTTGCACATTGTTCGCGCTCATCCTTGAACAGCGATTCGTGTTTGGCCTCGGTGCCCCAAAACCGTACGTCACCGACGATAAAACCAATTCGTAAAGACAACGGCGGATCGAGCCAAATTTTGCTTTCACTAGTAATCGGCCGTATTGTGAAACAAAAAGAAACGTAAAATTCAACACGATGGCACTTACGATAACAACTCCTTACATGTTTCACGACGTTTTACGCGTCTGACGCGATTGTTTTGCGTACATAACCGCGTCACTTCGCTCGTTCACTGCACCGGTTGTTGATTTGAGACAGCCATCTGTGACTTCTTACATTTTTACTTATTCACATTAACGTGTAGATGTCGCTTTCATCTTCTCATACATATCCAACAAAATTTGTTACAAACCAATCATTCTTTTCCTGACTAAGAGAACTGATTAATAATTGGTTAAATTAGCGTTAACACAGTATTGTAAACATTTCTCATAGAATATGTCCTCTTTGACCTTTTCCTTTTGAAACTAACGAATCAGCACACCTTGTTCATCATTCGTCATAGTTCAGCAGTTCCGTTTACGCACGTGCAGTAATGCACGCATCTTATGTTTACATAGCTTTTTAAGCATATTTCAAATATAAATATAACCTAATATTATATATAATGATTATGATATATCGTAGTAAATATGTTTAATTTATTTCCAAATTTATTAAAAAATTAATTTTATATTTAAAAATTAAACATAATATAAAATTAAAAGTAAAATAAAAAAAAAACTTACAGGTACGTATATCTTTTACATACTAATTATATTTACTTATTCGTATAAAAAACAAATTTTTAAATCATTTTTTTAATTATATCTTTAAGCCTACAACAATTAAAATGAATAGTAGCAGAATATGAACTGGATAGATAAGAAAAGGATTAACTATAAAAGGATGATAATCAAGATTAAAGATCAAGATTCCTGACAATAAAAAATCAAAATCTCTTAAATTTATAATAATAAACTAAAATGAGAATGAATTGTTTCAAAAAAAAGTAAAGTTTTATATTATCAACTTATGAGCAAAATATAAATTTTACCATTCTATTAAATATTTATTTATGTACATATATATAAGATTCTTTATTTTTAATTATTAAATTTTATTATTACATATGAAATTTAATTATTAAATATATACATGTTTCTACTTTAGATTTTTATTATCATTTTCTATTATTAGCTTATTATTAAATTTTGATAATATAATTATAAAAAATATAATTTATTAAATTAAAATCTTAATTATTTCTGTCATTCTAAAAAAAAGATTATAATTAAAAAGAATAATCATAATTGACAATAATGAAAAACATATTTACGTAAATGAATCATTAAAATTATTAAAATATAATAAAAATAGGAAATAATATATATTTGTATTTTATTCTATTAAATGTACACATTGGCATTAATAGATTATTGAATATTTATTATAGATAAGTAGATTTCACATTGAAAAATATTTATATGTAGTAATTATATCTTAACTAACATGTATTTAAAAAAATAATCATAAAAAACAGATCAAGGTAATAGCTTGCTCTTATATGACTGGATAACATTTGACTTAGAAACAGTAAATTATTCGCTCGGATAGTGTGCAGTACGTTCGTGGGGAATAACTCAAAAAACAAAAATATTTATTGAAAAGAAAATTTTTAAGGAATTTTATGGGTAAATATTTTATGAAAAATGTTATCAATTTTTTTATCCATCATTTTCGATTTATTATCATTTTTTTTTTCTCTCTCTAACAAATTTCTTGCGTAACACAATAACCCTCATTCTGATTGATATCATAAAGGCTTTATGCTAAGTTACACATCTCCCTTAAAGAATATTGATTTACAATAAAAAAAATATGTGCTTTTAATAAATTTAATCGAAGCGGGAGAAACGGTTCAGGAGGTTTATTGTTTGACCACTAGATAGCGGGATAACCTTGATCGACAGTTTTGTTTAGATTTGTAGGAGTGTAGTTAGTACTATTTCGCACACAATCAAACATCTTGAAAAGCTGGGCATGAAGTAACCAATAAGCGATTTGCCAGTCTAATCGTTCCAACGTCATTGCATAACTCGTGTTGCTTTTTAAACCAATTATTTAATGCGCTGCGTGCAATGATTTTGCACTTGGAGACATTTTCCGATCGATGTCACGCGTGTGTAATGACGCCGACCGAAAATGCGAATGGGCGTAATAACGCCGGCAAGTTCTGCGAATTGGATATACGTCAGAACTAACCTAAGAAAAAAGTTCATCGTGCTATTCTAACGAGATAAATATTATTATAAGATAGTATGAATCGCTATTCAATCTTATTTCATCGAATTTCGATTTCGATATGTTTGACGTTGTTGCTCTCGTGTAATAACGTCTGTAATAATTTACGTATAGGTTAACTTACAGCGTCCATAGACGTTTACAATCTGTCATTTAAATTCGACATTTTTTAAAATCGTAATATAATATAATATATAAATATAAATATAGAGCTGACGTTTTATTAAAAATAATACGTCCTTAGCCATGTATTTTATAATAAGCACAATTCTTGAAACGTTCCTGTTAACCAATGTTGAATCATACAAATTTGAAGGTAATTGAATACGTGTTTCATCCATTCAACGTTTCTACATAAAAAAAATTTTAAAGTTCTGTAAACAAAATTTTATAAAAACTATGTGATACATTCAGTTGATGCATTTAAAAGTATTAATGTGTGAAACTTTATTGTATTACACATTATTTGAAAATAATGTATATAGGTAAATATAAAAATGTTCTTATTTTTTTCAATAATCTTTTTTTTTTATTCTATTTCAGCAATCTTTAAGAATGAATTCAATTTCATTTTGGAATAATTTTTGAATTTGTGTATTTATACAATTAAAATAACAACAGATTCATTATAATGCATTTATGATTAAATGCCATGCATTCTATATGTGAAAAATAATGTTTAAAATTAGTATATATTGGTGTATAACCTGATTGCATTAAAAATGCAAGCCAAGAAGCGCTATTTATTATTATTTGTAACATGTGCGTTTCTTGGTTATTGTTATTTTGGTGGTTATCGATTAAAAAGTGAAAAGTGGACAGGCAGATCTCAGTTGCCTTATGAGCGATTGCCTTCATATTTAAGTCTAAACGAAGAATTCTATGACAAGGATTTGAGAACATCAAATGGAAACCCAATTATGTCTCAACGTACAAAACAATGCCGTATGGAGACTTGTTTTGACTTTACGAAATGCAAGCAAGGTTTCACAGTATATGTGTATCCAATTGAAGATGTGATAAGTCCACTATACCAAAAAATATTGAATGTTATTACAGAATCAAGATATTATACATCAGATCCTACTCGAGCATGTATATTTGTATTAGCTCTTGATACATTGGATAGAGATCCATTATCAACAGAATTTGTGCATAATCTTCCTTCAAAATTAATGCGTTTACCATATTGGAACAATGGCAGAAATCATTTGATATTTAATTTGTATTCTGGAACGTGGCCTGATTATGCAGAAGAATCTTTAGCTTTTGATTTAGGATATGCTATGCTTGCAAAGGCCAGCATGTCTATTTTTAGACATAGACCTGAATTTGATATATCTATTCCATTGTTTGGAAAACAACATCCAGAACGTGGTGGAGAACCAGGACAAGCTTTAGAAAATAATTTTCCTAATAATAAAAAATATATTGCAGCTTTCAAAGGTAAAAGATACGTCCATGGTATAGGTTCTGAAACTAGAAATGCTCTTTATCATTTACATAATGGCAAGGATTTAGTATTTGTTACAACTTGCCGTCATGGTAAAGCATGGAGAGAATTACAAGATGAACATTGTCAACAAGATAATCAAGAATATGATATGTTAGTATTAAGAAAAGATATTTTAATAATTAACTAAATTCTATATTTAACTATTTTAAAAATGAATTTTTAATTTACTATTTTAGGTATGATTATGAAATTTTGTTAATGAATGCTACCTTTTGTCTTGTACCAAGAGGAAGAAGACTTGGTAGTTTTCGATTTTTAGAAGCTTTAAGAGCTGGATGCATTCCAGTTATTTTAAGTAATGGTTGGGCACTTCCTTTTCACGAACGAATTGATTGGACACAAGCTGTTATATTTTCTGATGAAAGACTGTTACTTCAAGTAAATAATATCAAAATAAAATCTAATAAAAAGCATAAAGAGCAAAACTAATCTATGTATAAATATTATTTTCTTAGATTCCAGATATAGTGCGGTCTGTGTCCAATGTGCATATTCTTAAATTACGGCAGCAAACACAATTCCTTTGGGAACGGTATTTTTCGTCGATAGAAAAAATTGTATTTACAGTATTTGAGGTAATATTATAAAAATAATAATAATCTAGAATAGTTACATTACATAAAACAATAAAAAAATAATTTCTTTTTTCTTAATTTCTTAATATTTTATCGAATTTATAGAATATTCGCGAGCGTTTGCCTTGGGAAGGTACAAGAGAAAAGCTTATTTGGAATACTAATCCTGGAGCATTAGCAATATTACCACAATTTGCTGATAGTCAACAAGAACTTCCATTTTCGAAAAGTAATCCAGGTAATACCTTCACTGCCATCATCTATTCGCAGTTAGGATCTACTGCTGTCTTATATCGGCTGCTTAAGAGTCTCGCGAAAAGTAAATATCTAGATAAGGTAAGTTAATCGTGTAAATCAATAACTACTTTTATTTGATATTAATACACGTTCTATTTTAGATTATTCTTATGTGGAACTCGGATATTCCATTACCAAGAAGACCACGATGGCAAGGGATCAAAGCATCAATACATGTTGTCACGGTTGATGGTATATCTCAACGTTTCTATCCTCATCCATTAATCAAAACTAGTGCCATATTATCTCTAGACGAAGATGCCACACTCAATACAGATGAAATTGATTTTGCCTTTACGGTATGGAAATCGTTCCCTGATCGAATAGTTGGTTATCCAGCAAGATCACATTATTGGGATGATTCAAAAGTAAATTATTTTAATATTTTTACTTTTTTACTTTTGTTTCTCTAAAATTTTTACGTTAATTTTTACATATTATTTTACATATTACAATATTAATCTATTTTTACACTTTTTTTTTTTTTTTTTTTTT